GAGCCACAGGGGCTGGGCGCTCACAAGTTAAGAAGACACAGTTCTTGGATGTGTTAATTCACTAGATTCTTCATGGAAGATAAATTTTTTCTACGAGAGTCATCGATGTTTTCTGGGAAAGTCCGCAGGGTACAGTGGCCGGTCTCAGAGAGGGGACATCTCCCAACCAGAAAGCTCTCTAAGTCTCTTTCTGTGCCAGTACCTTGAGGTTCACCAAACCAGGTCTCCTCAGGAAGGAAATTGCTGGTCTGGCCATTCACCCTAGCCAGAAAAATCCTTTAGTGTGGCCCAGAATCCCCAGATAAAGTGACCCCAATTACTCCAGGGGCTATTTCTCCAGAGCCAAGGGCAGAAGTCACCTTTAAATAGGCCCTTTATTCTACAAAGGAGCCCCGATGGCGTAGTGAATACAAGCTAGGCTACTAACCACACGGTCAGCAGTTAGAAACCACGAGCCATTCCTCTGGAGAAAAGACAAGGCAAGCCCTCTACTCCACTACAGAGCGAGTCTCTGATAACCACAGGGGCAGTTTTATCCTGTCCGATAGGGCCAATATGGGTCTGAATCAATTCAGTGGTAGCGAGTTTGAGTTGTTCCTTTTAACCCCACAATAAAGTCCAGTAGCACAATAGGTTAAACATTCGGCCGCCTACCAAAAGTGCAGTGGTTCAAACCCATCAGCCACTCTGAAGGAGGAAAAATGAAGCTGCTGCTCCCTTGAAAACTGACAGCCTTGGAAACCGTATGGGGCAGTTCTACTCTGTTCTGTGGGGTGGCTCTGGGTGGGCATCACCTGAAGGGGAGTTTTTGTTTGTTTATTTACCCCACAATGTACACACCCAGGAGGAGACCAGTGTCAGCATGCGGAGACCCCAGAAAGAGCCTGCTGCGTGCTTGGTGTGTTCCTTGCAACTTCTCCACACCTATGTTGTTGTTTGCAACTTCTCCACACCTATGTTGTTGTTGTTGTTGTTAGGGACAGCTGAGTAGCGACACTATGTATAACAGAAGAGTACACACCCCAGCCCTGCACCATCCTCACAATTACTCTTACGTGCGAGCCCTCGTTGCAGCTGCTGTGCCAATCCACTTCTCTTTTGCAGGTGTGAAATAGTCTCAAATGAAACGTTTCACTCCTGCTCAAACCAAAAAGAGATATAAGAGCTGGCAAGAGCCTTGCCAGCCTGAAACGAGAGCCACCACTGCTGTTTTCTTCGGGGGGAGTGGGGGTGGGCTTCAAATAGGCCATGGGAAAATGGAAAGAGAAGGGTATTTCCCCACCAACCCACAGGTCCCAACCTGTGGTTGTTGAAGGTAGAGCACTGAGCTGGAAGCTCACCAAGATGCAAAGGAGTGAGACCAGATCCCACACTCAGGGACTTTAGATTATAAGCATGCCTCCTTTTATGAAACTTCACTGTAGGTACCGCATCTCCCACAGATTGAGAGGAAATCTATCACTGGAAGGGCCCTCTGCACATTGGACACACAAGTAGACACGGAGACCAAGAGTAAAACTTGATCCTGTGTGTGACCACAGTCTCCCATATTTTAAATTTTTGTTTACAAAGAGAAAACAAAGGAAGTGGAATCCAGAAAGGGGCCAGCACATACCCCCCAAAGTGCTGGGAATGTTCAAGAAGCTGAGAGATGTGAGTCTCAGCCAGGCTGAAGGTGGGTACTGGACTTCCCTCAAAGCACTGGCAGCCTTCTACAGGGTTCCGGCAGGCTGGGCATTACATCACATGGCTGCTGGCAGAAGGAGGATGGGACTGGAGGGGGGAACCAATGCCCAGACAGGTGGGAGGAGGTGGAGGCAGTACAGACTAAGGAACCAAAAGGCCAAACCCACTGCCCTCAAGTAGATTACATACAACTCATAGTGACCTGGTGCTAGAGGACAGAGTAGGGTTTCCAAGGCGGCCAATCTTTAGGCAAGTAAATGGTCTCATCTTTCTCCCCAGAAAGATTAAGCCTGACAAGTTAAGCCTTGGGTTGTGAATGGCAAGATCAGAGGTTCAAATCCACCAGCAGGTCTGCAGAAGAGGAGGTGGTCTACTCCTATAAAGATCTGCAGTCTCAGAATCCCTAAGGAGCAATTCTACTCTGTCCTATAGGATCACTAGGAGTCACAATCAACCAGACGGCAGAGGGTTTGAATTCGGGAATCTTTATGAGAGTCCCTACATGCTGCTAACTAAAAGGCTGAAGGTTCAAGTTTACCCAGAAGCACCTTGGAAAAAAGGCCTGACAATCTGCTTCCAAAACAGCAGCCACTGAAAATCCTATGGAGACCCATACCACACACACACACCCCCACTGCCCTAGTCTTTTTGTCCTCTTCCTCCAAATCTCATCATCCTAAATCAGCCACCATAAAGAATAACAACGAAATAAACAATGGGGCTGATTTACTTTGGCACACGTGGGATCACTGAATGAGGGTCAGCTCCATGGCGACTATAATCCCTGGGACCTTTGAACAGGCCACTACATATAGCCAAAGGGATTTTGCAGGTGTCATTTAAATGACAGACTAACACAGGGAGATTATCCTGGCTTTCCTAAGTGGGTCCAATCACCTCTGAGGCCTTCACAACAGAGAAATTTCTCTGGCTGGAGTCAGATTCGAAGCCCAAGCAGAACTCTGTCTGCCCTTCTGGAGGGGCCCCTAGAAAGCCTGAGAGGACGTGCAGCTGCCTCTGAGAAGGAACTGACCCCTGGCCAACAGCCAGCAGGGAAAGAGTGCTACCAGCAACCTGAAGGAGTGCGATGCAGCTCTTTCCGGAAGCCTCCAGAAGGAATGCAGTGTTGCCACACCTTGGTCTTGGCCCCTTAAGACCTTAGGCAGAGAACTCAGCTGAGCCTACCTGATCCCCTGACCTTCAGAAACAATCAGATAATAGAACTTGTGTTTTACACCTGCAAGTCAAGGCAGCAGTTTGCTAAGGCAGCAAAAGAACCAAAATACAAATAACGATCTCGTAAAATTTAAGAGCTCAGTCCAGAAGCAAAAGGAAGCTGAATTATGAATTATGCAGGCAGCCTCAATATGCAGTCCTCCTTCACACTCCCTTCGCCCAGTCCGCAGACCTTTGGTGGTAACACCCCCAATAATCAGGGTTTCCCCACAGAGGAATTTGTGCTCCAAGGGCTTCCATGAATTTGTGGGAATACTGAATGAAAAGAACAGCCTTTCCCCCCACAAATATCTCAAAGCCCCCTCGTCTGCATCCTTGAGATAGGAGACACTACTGGCTGCTAACAGAAAGCTTGGAGGAGATGAAGAATCACCTGGCACTTCACTTCAAAGTGAAACCAGTTGTCCCCACCCCACCCCACCCCACCCCAAAACACACACACACACACACACACACAGCGCCAGGAGTTGGTAACAACTTGCTGCCCACAGTAACAGAAGCCTGTCCACAGGTTCTGCCAGCTCTGCACAATGGCCTAGAACCTTCACAGGGTAGTCCCAGTTCCTTCCTTGGCACAGCCCACTTCCTTCCTTCCCCACAGAGGCTCAGCCCCCTCAGCCCACCTAGTTAGTCACCCAGCACTGCCAGACTCCCTTCTCTGAGTCTGTCTTCCCCTTTCCCATTCTGTCACCGTGAAAGAAGGCCTGTATCGTCACTGGCTTGGGCCATTCCACACCGCTTCGTGGGTGCATTCGGTGGGACAGGCTATGGTGATCCAGGACCGGGTGGGCAGGGAAGAAAAATAACAAGTCCCCCAAATGCCCCATCATGATCCCCTAACTGGCTTCTCGGGAGTCATCGCTCTCCTTGGTCCGCCTCCTGGTATTTTCAGGAACGTCCCAACCCAGGGTGTTTTCACTACCTTAAAGCAGGCTAGATGCCAAAGGCAGACTCAACACCTTGGCACGAGTGCTAACCCTCATTCCAGCGCCCTCTCCTTTCCTCCTGGCTCGAGCTCTCCCAACCGCAGAACTCTAAGGCGGCAGGAAAAGTCCCGCCCGCACTCGTTTCCACCGCCCCCCCTCCCGCTGCGTTCCCCCCACCCCCATCCCCACCGACTTACTCACCACCTACACCACAGGCTGTTCTGGGCCTGCCCAAGCTAACTGCCCGCGGGACCCCAAGGGTACACGGTCCCTTCATACACGTGGGCACCCATGCACAAGTCAGCAGTTCGAAACCACCAGCCGCTCTGTCGGAGAAAGACGGGGCTTTCCACTCCAGTAAACAGTTACAGCCTCGGAAACTCACGGGGGTAGCTCTACCCTTGTCTAATAGGGTCGCTAGGGGTCGGCTCCGACGCGACGGCAGTGGTTTGGTTTGGGGTGAATGTGAGGTTGTCACAACAACCAGAAAGCTCCCCTGGAGCCTGGTAAATGTGGGGCGCAGTCCGCGCGAGGGGCTGGGGTGCTGGCCCGCTCGGGCAAACCCCTTCAGTCTTCAGGCATTGGCGGCGGAGCGGGGGGCGGGGGGGGTGTTCGCCAAGAGGCGGCTCTAACCCAGCTCCACCTTCTCACCTCCAGAGCCGACCAACGCTCTGGGACGCACCTCGTCGTGAGGTCCCCAGCACCCACGGCCCCAAACTCCCCCCTCCTCGGTGGCCTCCCGCCCACGAAGCGCTCAGCTCTGCAGATCCCACAGCGGGGCTGCCTCCCCCGGCACTTTCTGCAGTCGGCGCGAAGGCAGCGGGGGCAGGCTGCCTCCGAGGCACCCTGGTGACAAGCTCGCCAGCTCGGGGCGATGACTCAGAGCCCGAGCTCGCTGGGTGGCAGAGTTCGGCCCCAGGAAAGCACCCCCGGGTCGGCCGAGCGCGGAGGCGGGAGCCAGAGGAGGGCCGCGCCCCAGAGCCCACACGGGTCCCCGGCACCTTCACTCCTCCGGTGCCCTCGGATCCCAGAGGACCCGGTTTTCTCCGGAGGGCTCCGTCCCGTCCCGGCCTCACCCGCGGCGCGAGGGAAGGCTGAGGGGGAAAGGTCCCCCGCGCCCGCCACTTCCCCCCACCCCCGGCCCCTACTCACATTTGACTGACCAGCTTTTGCCGGAAGGCGGCACTCCGCCAGTCGGTCTCCTGCCCCGAAACGTCCATGCCGGCCCCACCCCCGCTCCCGCCACCCGCGGCCCGTTCTGCCGTCGCCTCAACCGCAGCGCCAGGCCCACACCCGGAAGAAGCCGGGGACTCCTCGGCCGCTCCGGAAGTGGCGCGGAATTGTGGGCAGTAGAGTCGCGCCCGCGGGCTTGTGGGAAATGGAGTCCTGGATCCCGAGCCGAGCGAGAGCTCGCTGAGCGCTGTCCCGGGTTCGTGCGGGCGCGACCAGGCTGCCAGCGCTGTTGCCAGATGGTGTTGTTCCCTTAACCATATCCAAAAGCTCCTTGAGGTAAACCGGCTTGTACGGTTAAAACTTTCTTAGTTGATCCCCCTTCTGATGCACGCTGGAACCTGATTTGGTTTTCAACATTTTCTGTATTTTTTTCTTGGTTTGTTGGTTTGTTGGTTCATATTAGGGTTGATCTCAGAGGTGTTATGTCATGGGGGGGGGGTCACCCTCTTGAAGCTGTGTTATATGTTTTTCTATTTTACGGTAAATGAAACCCAGGATTGCTGAAGCTATCGGCACAGCAAAGTACAATAAGGGTTTGCAGGTGGGTAGGGGCGGAAAAAGGTAGATGATGTCAAGGAGTTCAGGAAGGGAAAGAATGTTTTGAAACAGATTGTGTTAGCAGTTGTTACGATACCGCTTGATGAGATGGAACTATGGAATGATACGAGTGTTAACTCCCAAACAATACTAGATAATTTTTTAAAATCTGACAAAGGTATTTTTTTAAAGGGGGGAAACGTCCCTTTAAAAGTTCAATTCACCCTCTCTCTTGCATATCTTTTAGTTGACTTGTAAACAAAAATTTTGCCTTCTGGAAACTGTTGAGTGCGATGACTGACTATATTCTGTCTTGTATGCGGTCGGCTGGGCAGTTTGTAAGAGCCACGGCCTGCAGATTGCATTCATTCGTTTATGGACAGTGGAACTCCTCACCGTCAAATACTTGGGGAAATTGGCCTTACAAAGAAAAGGGTGGACTTCACATTCAACTGATGTCAGTAAGCTGATTAATAGGGTCCAGGGCGGGCCTCCCTCTTGTGTACTCTTATTCTAGAGAATGGGAATAAGCACAGGCATAAAATTAAACTCTACTGTTATTTGGTCCAGACCCCCTGGAGGAAATGATGGAAGAGCCCTACATCCCACAAATTGCCCACATGATGGCCAAGTCTCCTCCTAGCTGGTTCCTTCAGGTTACTTTTTAGGGCAGTTAGAACATTTGCAAGATCCCTTCTTACTCTTCTTAATCACTCCAAACCTGTGTCACCCATATTCTTCCTGTTACTAGGACTATGTTCTGTTTCCTCAGATCAAGGATCTCCATCCCTGAATTAGAGTTGCACACGAATTGGTGGCGGGTCAAAAGTACAAATTACTTCATGATTTTTTGTAATCGTTATATAAAACATTTTTTGTGTGTGATAGAAAACATTTTCATTGTTTTTAATGCGTACAGTTCTGGTATTAATTACATTCACTATGTTGACTATGAAATTATTTATAGATTCCCCCCTCCCCCATCATCATGAAAAGAAACTCAGCGCCGCCCCATTAAAGCCAGGTGTCTCCCTTTCCCATCTCTTACTAGTGGTAAACATTCATAGACTTGCTTTTTGTCTACTCTACTACTTCAAAAAAGCAAAACCATACAATATTTGTTCTTTTGTACTGATTTATTTCACTCAGCATCATGTTTTCAACAACCACGTGTCTGTCAGTTTGTCATACTGTGCGGTGTCATATTTGAAATATCATGAGGATATTTCAGATAGCAGCAGGGTCACCCAAAGTGAACAGGTTTCAGCTGAGCTTTCAGACCAAGAACAGACTACAAAGAATGAAGGGGCTGCCCACTTCAGAGGGATTAGCCACTGAAAGCTCTGTGGATAACGTCGAAACATGGTCAGTTACTGAAAACACACTGGAAGATGAACCCCTCAGGTCGGAAGCCACTTAAACTATGATTGGGGAAGAGCTGCATCCTCAAAGTAGAGTTGGCCATCATGACCACCATGGCACGGATGGAGTAAAGTTGTCCGGAGTCAAGCTTGGTGTTTCAAATACCAGCAGCGCCCTTGTAGCCTATTAAAGTGCTAGCACCTAGAATTAACCTTGAACATGAAGAAAATGAAAACAAGTCTACAAGAGCCAAAGTACGGCCTTGAGTATGTCCTATCTGAATTTCAAGGAAGATTTGATACATTGAACACTAATGACAGAAGACCTGCTGAGCTGTGGGATGATGTCAAGAACATCAAACAAGAAGAAAGCGAAAGGTCATTAAAAAGACCGGAAAGAAAGGCTCTGAAAAAAAAAAAAGGCTCTGAGGATGTCAGAAGAGACTCCGAAATTTGCTCTTAATAGTTGGTTCTCCTTATTATTGAATTTTGCATCAGTGGATGCAATCAACTGCAGATGGAGGGAGGAGGAAGCAATAAAGTAGTCAATCAATCCCTCGAAGGCTAAGAAAGATAGAAAAGTGCTATCTACAGTTGATTTAAGGAATGAGGGAGACACCTTAGCAACCATTTAAGATAAAAAGACCAGCAGCTGCTTAAGGGCAAAGTTCAGAAGGGCTAGTGAAAGAGGAATGGAAGTAGGAAACACATGGAGGAAGTGTGCAAATTAGGGTACTGTGGTCAAGTGAAATGACTTAAATACGGCTTTTCAATCTGTCTCTGTTGTTGTTGTTGTTGTTGTTAGGTACCACGGAGTCGGTTCCCACCCATAGTGACCCCTATGCACCATAGAAGGAAACACTGCCCAGTCCTGCACCATCCTCACCACTATTCCTGTGCCTGAGTCCATTGTTGCCCCCACGGTGTCCATCCGTCTCATTGAGGGCCTTCCTCTTTTGCACTGTCCCTCTACTTTACCAAGCATGGTGTCCTTCTCCAGGGACTGGTCTTTCCTGACATGTCCAAAGCATGTAAGACAAAGTCTCTCATCATCCTTGCCTCTAAGGAGCAAGCACTCTGACCACACTTCTTCCAGGACAGATTTGTTAGTTCTTTCGTCAGGCATGACACTTTTCTTTCTTTTTCTTTTTCTTTTTTTGACACTTTCAATATTCTTCACCAGCACCGTAATTGAAATGCATCAATTCTTATTTGGCTTTCCTTATTCAATGTCCAACTTTCATATGCCTATGAGGCAATTGAAAATACCATGGTTGGGTCAGGCACACCTTAATCCTCCCCAGTAGCATCCTTGCTTTTCAACACCCTAAAGAGATCTTGTGCAGCAGATTTACCCAATGCAATGCATCATTCATTCTTTTATTATTATTAAATACTTTTATTGGGGGCTCTTACATCTCTTATCACAATCCATACTCATCCATTGTGTCAAGCACATTTGTACTTATGTTGCCATCATCATTCTCAAAGCATTTTCTTTCTACTTGAGCCCTTGGTATCAACTCCCTCGCCTACCCTCTCTCCCTCCCTTATGAACCCTTGATAAGTTATAGATTATTATTTTCATATCTTACATCATTCTCGGTCACCCTTCACCCACTTTTTTGTTGTTCGTCCCCCATTTGTTTTCTTGATAGCTGCTTCCATGAGCATTGATTGTGCGTGCAAGCAAGATGAAATTCTTGACTTCAATCTTTTCTCTGTGTATCATATTGTTCCCTACTGGTCCAGTTGTGAGGATTTTGTTTTTCTTTATATTGAGTTGTCATACATACTGGAGGCTGCAATCCTTGATCTTTCATGTCTCCATGTCTTCCACCAAATGATTGTGTGGGACCAGGCAAATAGGGTGTGTGAAACACCAATGGAGTGGATTGGTCAGTTTTGCCACTCTTCTGTGTATAAAATAACCATCTCAGGAGTAGGAAGAGAGCATTCCTGGAACCACTAAAGGAGAAGAGCCACCAGAGAAGTGAGTTGGAGATAGATCTTTGGCTTAAGTGGCAGCAGAGACCATGCCACCTGAGACCAGAGGAACATACCACTGAGACTGTAGGCAGTGAGGCAGAGTGGCAAATGGGCTTCCTGGCCCACAGAGACCGAGTGACAGAGAGGCTGAGGACCAGAGAAAGGTTTAGCTGCTATTGGCCAATGACTGTGTGCGTAATGTGTTCTGATCCTGGTTAGTTGGTAACTTGTTAACTTCCCCATCATTATGAGTCTTGTCTGTGTGTTCTGTGTGGCCATTGCAGCAGATTATCAAACTGGTAAAATAAATATGGGTATATAAATTTGCAGTGTTGCAAAAAATACCCATGTATAAATTTAACACCAGAAATTTCTAGTGTTGCAATAAATATCGTTGTATACATTTCTGCGTAAGGCTCTGCGTTCAATTAATTTGAGAGGGCACTTAGGAGTGGACCAGCCACATCATTTAGTAAATGGGTTTATGTTTAACATTTTGATTGGAAATCCACTGCCCTTGAGACCATGCTGAGTCATACATAGTGACCCTATAGGACAGGATAAAACTGCCCTGTTAGTTTCTGAGGCTACAAGTGTTTATGAGAGTAGAAAGCCCCATCTCTCTGTCAAGGATCATCTGGTGGTTTCGATCTATGGACTTTTGGGATTGCAGCCCAACATATAACCACTACTCCAGTAGGGTTTTTTTTTTTTTAATGGAAACAAGTCTTTATTAAGTAACTTTTAATAACAGAAAAATAAAACTCTTATAATTCTCTTTACAGCACATATATAATATCAGTGCTTTGGGCATCTTAAGTAAAGGCCCTTTATCATAAGATACATGGTTTTAAAACGTTACTAAAGTTAAATTTGTAAACCCTATGACTTCCCTACATATACATCACAAACGAGTGTAGTAAAATTAGCAAATACTAAACTATATTAATAATTTATCATTCTTAAGTTTGTGGTTTTTGGAAACAGTACACGCACCTACTATATGATGATTCCTTGCTTATGAGTTGCAGTGTACGATGCAATAAAATACAAAGTACGTGCTTGGTGAACATTCGCTAATACCTACAGGACGGCAGCTA